CCCCAAAACCCCAAAACCCCAAAACCCCTTCATATAGATATAATTAAATTTTGAGTCAATATTAATTTGCGAATTCTAAGATAATTTATTCATTGCAAAATCTCACTAATTTCACTGATTCTTCTCTTCTGACTCTTTATCCTTTTGTGATTCATTTAATTATTCCTTCATCAATCTTTGAGCAGCTAATGCTTGCTATTCTCTGATATAGTTGTATTCAAGTAAATCTAATACATTTCTATTCTTTTGATTTTACATTCTATGATACAATGCATTTTATCTAATATTTCCCCTTCCTTTGCCTTACATTTATTGTTATTATTGAATTTCTTAAGCGTTTTGAGCAGCTTGTTTTTGTTATTTAGCAACTTGTTAATTGGTGTTTGATTTGTTTGAACCGATTGGTCTAGCATTCTTTTCTTGACTCTTGATCTTTTCAACAAACACAGAGAGCTTCATGAATTGATCCATTTGAGCTTAGGAGTTCTTGACATATTGATCATCAGCTGGTAGAATCTTAGTAATTATTTAATGAGCTTTCTCCTAGTTATCAAGAGCTTTCCTGTAGTCATTTAATTAGAAATAGGCATGGGCAATTGCTTGATAGCAACTTGCTACTTGGATGTGATTTTCTCCAAATAGATTGATATTTCTATATAGACTTTCAAGGAAACAATCAATAGCTGCTTAGAAATGCTCGAAATCTTGATACATTAATCCAAGGTTTAGGTAGATTGAGGAAATATCTGGATGATTTTCACCACTTGCAATCTTAAGAATATTTAATGCTCTTTGCATGTAATCGAATGCCTTGCTGAAATATCCACAAGTGTGATGATAGAGAGCAAGATTAGAGTAGCTATATGCAGTCTATGGGTGATCATAGCCTAAAACTCTCTCTTGCAAAATAATGCTCTTAGTTTGAAGTTCAATGGCTTGAAGGAAATCTCCAAACTTAAACTGAATACTAGCTAATTTTGAAATACAAGAAGCTACTTCTCTATTCATAGGGCCAGTGATTTAAAGCAATGAGTTAATGCACTATGAGTAAAGCTCAAAAGCTTTCTCAAAGAATCCATCCTTATATGCTTATTTGGCTTGAGCTAGCATTTATCTCACATCATTGTTTTAAAGATCTAGATGCTTAATGACTGGGTAAATTTCAATAATGTCAGAGTATTGGAATGGTAAGTAGGAATACTTATCTAAGAGTTCAACTGTCAGCTGAGATGGCTGAACTTGAGCCTTCTTTTTACTCTTATCTTGCTTTTGAGCTTGTCTGTTTGCATCATTCGCAATTTGTTGAGAAAGTTTACTTAGCAGAGTGTTTACATCGTTATCTAGGATGTAATCTTTGGATGAGTGGCTTAATATTTTTATTCCTAGTTTGATGCATAGATCTCTCAACAATGAGAGCTTATAGTTAGGATGTTATAGACATTTTAAATCAGTCTGATTTTCAGGAAGTACTAAGCTGTATCTTTTCTCAGCGACATATCTTATTCTTTCATATAGATCCTTTGGTTTTAAAGACAAAGCTTATGGCCTCTCAATTTGAAGTAAGCTGTTTGCAATAGATTTTTCCTTGAATAAATCATCAATAGAAAAGTTTTATAGTTCAAGATTTTACTTGAAAAGCAAATCACTGAGGTCAGATGGTTATTCAGTATTTTTTTATGTTTTAACTTTCTCACTTGGCTATTATCCCTCTTTAGTTGATTGCTTTTACTTCTTCTTAAGCTTCTTTTTCTCATTTTTAGAAAGTTATTTTGCTTCATTATCTGGCTCAGCTGCTGCGTCATCCTTTTACTTTTCATCTTTATTATCTTTTTCAACTCTCTTTGATTCTATAGTTACTGGCTTAATGATATTTTGAATTGTGTGATCCTCATATTGAATTTTTTCCTCGTTCATTAGATTAACAAAGAGGGATGGGGAGAGTAGAAGATTGAATAGATGACTAATTGTAGATGAAAGGTAGGTATCTGAACTTTCTCTTATATGTTCATTGAAGATATGCTTAGCTGATCTAAATACAGCTTCTCTCTCAAGAAGAGTCTTAAGATGGTTTAATTCTTGATCTTTAATTTCATTAGCAACATGCCCAAGATACCTCATGTTTATTCCATGAGAGTGGAAAGCTGCCTCTAAACTTTCAGAATCAGTGGGAACACCTTCAACACTTTGAAGATCCTTAACAAGTTTTGGAATTGCTTGCTCTTTTAAGAATTTAGCAATATCTTCTACTAGATCCTCATCTTTCTTGATATCTTCCTCTGGCTCAGCAAACTTGACGTTCTTGAATACATTAGTATTGTAAGTGAATTTCGGTGCTTCCTTCAAATACTTGTCAAATTCCTTAAGCTTTCTAAGATTTTCTTCAGCTCTCTTACCAGCATAGGCTTCTTTCTCTAAATCAGTCATATCCTCAACTTTCTTTTGCTCTTCTTTAGACTTTTCCTCTTCTAATTGCTTATTGAATTCAGCCATTTTAGCCTGAGCATACTCAATACTTCTGGTTCTTTGATAGATGAGTAAGAGCTCTGGTCTGAGAAGACAAGTGTGATAATCATCACCCTTGTAGTTGGCATCTCTAGGAGTGAGTCCTTATAAATCAACTAAATAGTTTCTCTTATCGGTTCCCTTAATACCCTTTACTTCAACGCTTCCAGCAATTTCGACTTCTTTGTCGGAGCCATCAATAACTTTGTTTACTTTAATATTGAGTTGTTCGCAAACTTTTTTCATCAATAAATGGAAGTCTTCTTTAGCGTATATAGTTTTATTCTCATCAACTGATCCATATTCAGCTAATGAGGTGAGATCATTGTTGTTCAGAATACCTGGAATGATGCTTTGTGCAATCACTCTTTGACCTCTATAATTTACTAAGCAGGTTGCTAATATATGAAGTCCCTGGACATCTAGAATTTAAAGCTATCTCAATCCCATTATATCATGATTTGCCTGAGTGAAACTGGGATTATTCTCTGAGCTAGTGAGATCCTTGAAGGAATCAATCAAGTCGATAGCATAACTGAAGAAAATATAGTTATATACGAAAACCTGTTATCTCTCAGTTTCGTTTGGATTAAGAGGCATCAAGTTTCCATTAACAATAGCTTGAGCACCTTTTACAGCTGCTTCCAAAAAGTCATTATAGACTTTTTGGATAGCTCTATCTCTTTAAATTCTTTAAACAAATGAATCAGATGAGAAATCTTTGACAACTTAGAACTCTTCATTCCAGTCACGAATACCTTTTGGATCTAATCCGAATAAAGGAACTAAAGTTGAAGCTGTCTCATCTTTATTGTTAGAAAGTTTCTAAGCATTTAACTTATCTTCTTCAATCAACCAGAAATGGACTGGAATCATTGGTTATGTCAGGAAATATGGTTCAGTATTCAAAATAGAGTCAATATAGGTCTCTAGATTTTTTCCAAATTAAGGTGATAATTGATATAAACAGCCAACTAAAGTGTATGAGAAACAAGGGCTTGATTTAGTTGATGGACCTGGTCCATATTGTTACTTTTCAATATTATCATTTCTATAAAATCCATTGACACAGCATGTAATACCCATATCTCCACTATCAATAGTTTTCACCACAAGATAGAATAAATCTCCAACTAATCTCCTATAAGGTGGAACTGGATTGAACAATGAGAATTAAATACTCTCTACACACTTAATATAGTTGATTTTATTCATTTCCTTCTCAATTGGATTCTTAAAAAGATCCTTGAGAAGAGAATGCCCGTTCTTTTGGGGTAAGGGGATCTCCTTTTTAGATTCCTTTTCAATAATTGACATAAAATCTTCATAATTCTTCTTTAACTTCTCTTCATATTAGTTATTTTATTTCTTTTCATTCGATAAAGCAGCACCCTCAACTGCAGCTGCATTCTCATCTTGATTTTCCTATTCAGTTTGGGCTAAACTCTTTTCAGCAGTAGAAAGTTGATTTTGAAGTTATTATGCTTATGATTAATCAGTTTGAGCAGAAAGGACAGGTGGAGAGCTCAAAATATCCTTTATTCTCTTAATATGTTATCTAGCACTCTTCTCATCGTATTTTTCTATATTTCATATTACTAACACTCTCAATAATCATACCTGGCCTAAGATATATCTTGTTATCTGATGCTAAGTCAAGTACTGCAAGCTCTGTGTAATCATTAAGCTTAACTCCTGCATGCTCGAAATAATAATGAGTATAGAAGCATGTATAAACGTGTTCATTCAAAAACTCTCTCAATTCTAATACCATCTCATATTGAACCATCTATAAGCGAAATAAGTAAGTGAGAGTGTAAAATATCAATAAATATAGGTCCAAGGATTCACTAACGTACTTTTAATTAAATCTCTCTTTGATTAAGGTCTACTATGGTCAAACTCAAAAATTTATCGTCTAAAAGTTAGTCTCCAAGTAAAGCTGCTATAAGGAATGAATGTCTTGACTTATTAACATACCATTTTGCTCTAATTCTTCTAAACTGCTAACTTGTTGTTTCTGAAGGAGTGAGTCCTAAGTATTGTTTGTGTTCTCCATATTAATAAATAGATTTTATCTTTAATAAATAAGAAATCAAAGGATTACATTAAACTATAATTTTTTAAGAGCCGTAGGTATATGATTAATTAGCAATTTACTTCTTAAAAATAACTTTATTCATGAGCTGTGATTGCTAAGTTTGATTCTTATCTAATATTAAAATCTCGATTGTTTAATGATTTAGGCATTTCGGGGTTTTGGGGTTTTGGGGTTTTGGGG